CATTCATGCATTCCGCATTTGCGCTTATTTCCCAAGCATCAACTCTGCCGTAAGGTTCATGCAGAAATTGTTGGGATGTGTTTGTCGTTTTACTTTGTTACCATGGCTCACCAGAATCCACAGCTTCTGCTTTTCCTCTGCACATCTATTCTGTTCCGTCCATTCACTTCTAACCTTCCTTCACGCCAATGTTACGGCCCTTGCACGATGATGTTGCAGTCGATTCGGCGTCTTTCTCGTCCCTTAATCCTTCGAACGCGTAGAATAATTAGACAGGGCGTCTATGAATAATGGGATTATAAATGGGCACAGTGAATAAGATTATGTCTGTTCAGAGTACACACTCTCCTCGAGGACAGATAACATCCAATGCGTAGCGGAATGCGAGTATACCGGTCGATTCTCGCCTAAAGTATTCGTATGAGCAAACACGTATTGCAAAGTCCCGTCTTCTTTTTGAACTCTGGCCCCCAATGCTACTCTCATGGGCAGTCTGCAGATGTTATTTTAGTTAGTGCACATACCACACCTTCGTATCCGACAGGTGGTATACCTTTGCGAGGCCACATTTTAGTGTGATGCACGGTGGTTGGCTGAGGATGGAATTGTGCATTGTAGCCGAAGTATTTAGCTGGTGTGATAGCTTTCATCACTTGGAGTGTGTATTTGCCCTATGGATGATGGAAGTTGCGGTGTACTCCAGGCAGCAGCATTGGCCTATATAGCAGTACTACATCCCCTTCCTGATAGATGTTAGTCTCACTGTGTTTGTCACATCATCCCTTCTGTCTAGTATATGAGGGTCGTATGTGTTTCCATGAGATGTTGAAAGTTTGCCTAATCCTTCCTTTAGTCGAAGTGCATACTTTGAGTTATTGTGGAATGCTACTTCTGTGTTTGATAAGAAAATATCGGTTAGAAATCGTTCTGAACCGCAGCATCTTAAACATTGGAATGGACGAAGTCTTAAATCCCAGTTATTTCCCAATACGTGAGATATTCACGGCAGAATCTTGATTGGGTGTCGGCCAGCGTCGCAGAGTGGGAAGCAAAGGTGACTGCTGTACGTACAGTGTGCCATCTTTTGTCTCTCTAGTTTTGTCAATCTTTTTCGCTCTCCTTTCTCTATTAATCACACCGAATACTCAGCTATCCTGCAATAATCCATTCCGTGCCCATCTCACCGTGTTTCCATTTGTGATCTCCCTGTATTTGTTTCGTCTACGTATTATTTGTTTGTACATTACTTATTGCTTCAACCATCAATCCAACAGTTCCTATTTAGTCTACTTGGTATCACATTGATCATTGACCTAGTTATTTCTTGATACCTGAGGTATTCACACATAAAATGGGCCCAAATTAATCACTGCATATGGTTTTCACGAACAATGGGACACTAATATCACCGAGGCAGAAAATGCATTCCGTGACCTTTGTTGTCGACATGCTGTTGCACACATTCGTTCCAATATTTGGCTTCCAGTGGAGCAGATGTAGAGAAGTTCGTTGACCTGCACATCCAAGTGGGTACTGCTGAAATCACGAGGGGAAGGGAGGTGGAGGAGGAGAGGGAATGGATGAACTAGGTGCTGGTGTTGTAAAAGGGGGTTACTGTCGTGTAATTTAGACAACATCGAATAAGTTCACATTAAACGAGGAAATAACATTAGCTGAAATGCACTGTGTGAATTTGAGAGCTATCAACGGAGTTATTTTCGAGAATTCAATCTCAATGCCACTTAAGTGTGCAAAGGAGATATAGGGGAATAAAAGCAGGAAATATACATCAGAGGTCTGCTCTGTGTCGCATAATTTGTAAAAGATAATAGGCGCGCAATATCTTGTATAAATTACACTGGCAATTTGGCGCTCAGCTGTCAGTCACAGGTTGGTGATTTACAAATAGCGAAGCAAACGATGCACACGAAGTCGCGATTCGGTCACAAACTCGCGCTCACAGTTGAAATGCTGAAGGACGTCGTCTGCTATCCTGCAATTTTTCCCTTAGTTTACGCAGTGCTCATTTTGTTTGGTCAATTGCGTGGATTTGACCTCCACGTTTGCTGTGTCATCTAGACGGTGACAGATATCGCATCTGTTTTGATGAAGGGTAGGTGCTCTTATTCAGGCTGAAGAATGCATTTCTAACATAAATAACGTGTAGATTGCCAAAATGGAAGCTGTCACATGGCAGTTCAGACTGATGATTATGTGGAAGAAGAAGAGGACACCACGGAAACATCTGATGCAAAGTTTATCAGATTCCAGCGAATACTCAATTTCTTCGCACATAGAAGTCGTTCAATGTGGACGTTGCGGTCACATACCTTAGTAGGGGAAGAAACGGGAGGAGCCGCTGACACAAGCTATGGAATAGAAGAAATTCCTGGTGGATGCGAGTGGGAAGGAGGGGCGTGATTAAGGCAAGGAAGAGTGAGGCCGACAAGGGGAAGAGGGGTAGTAAGGCAAAGTGCTGTTTGATGAAGGAGGAGAATGGCAGAATGGAGAAAGAGGTGGAGGAGGAGGAGGTGTCCGAGGAGAATTGCGAAGATAAGAATGCGACGAAATCACATGGAAGGAGTCGTGGGAGATGGAGATGATT